AAACTGAAATTGTAAATTTAATTATAAAAATTAAACTTAAAATCCAGAGTTTCGTTCCATTGTCATGCGATGCTAGGATTAACTTTCTAAACCTAAGTTTTCTAGCATCACTTGACAATGGAACGAAACTCTGCATTTTAAGTTTAGTTTTTAATAATTAAATTTACAATTTCAGTTTTTGAGACATAGAAATTTCTGTGCCACGATGGAATGATATTTTTAAAAAAGAAAATAATTATAATATTATGCTCTACTGTTTGTATCAAGTACTGTCTTTTTTTTAAATAAAAATAATTGCTAAGAATACCGGCTTATATTTTTCCCCTAGATTAATGCATATTACTGTTCTTTCTTATCATATATATATATATATATATATATATATATATCAAGAACAATATTAGGGAAAAATGTATGACAAAGTGGAAAAAGGTTTCATGGGTCTCGTTTTGTTATTTTTTAGGAAATCACCAGACTAAATTTATTATGTTGATGCAACTAGACATGCGTATGAATGAGGGATACTAGAAATTTAAATTCAAAATTTTTTTTTTTAATCTAGCCAATTTCATTTAGTGATGGAAAGTAAAGAATCTAAATTAAATCAGCCAGATTAAAAAAAAAATCTAAATTTAAATTTCTTCGTTCATGTGCAGTTACATCAACATAACAAATTTAGTCCAATGAAGTCCTATAAGAAAACTTTTCCACTTTGTCATATATATATATATATATATAATCATAGTAACAGATAAATTTTTTTGTACGTTTGTATTAAAAAAATACTAATAAATCTAGCCTAAATAGAGACAAATTTTGGGTATTAAATATTTTTGTAGATAAAACAACAGTGAAAAATATTTTAATACAAGCAATGTAGGGTGGAAATGCACTAAAAATAAACAAGTACACTGATTTTCTGTCTGAATTATCATTATTATAGACTGGTTTATTAAAACTGGTATCCTTATTCTGGTTTGTGGTAGTCTCAGTGTTTTGGCTATTGTACCTTCTGGAAAGTTAATGGCTGTCACATTTACTAACATCGTTAGAATTTCAAACCAAAGCCTTTATTGATGCCACAGGGGTAGACTATTCTCAAACTACTGACCATAGTAGAGGACACTTCTATTCATTCTACTGAACCAGTCTGTGTATACAAGTTTCATTAAAAACAACTGACAAGGTGCTGGGGGTTAAGTTTTTATATCATTTTTCATGTGTTCTTATAATTTTTTTTTCTTTTCAGGACATAAATTATATAAGAATTGTCCAAATGTTTTATACATCTAAGTGCTTCCAGTTATACTTTTAGCCATTATCAAGGATGGATTTTATTTTACTTTTAAGTGAATATATGATCTGGCAGCTAACAAGGAAAGTAAGACTACAACATTCAGGAAAAACCTTGTTTTATGACAAATAACAACAGCTAAAAATAAAATTTAAATAATGAAATCCAAAAAACATAATACAATACTAAAAAACACTTTGACTAAACCCAAATATAATGAAGCACAATACTATATTGATATCTGTCTATATTTCTAAGATGAGGTATTATGTACATTATTTACATTATTTGGATTATTGTCCTCATCTTTGTTGCCATATTTATCACAACATTTCGGCCATTGTATGCTCCGGGCTTCTTCAGGTGGTTGGAATATCGAACCCAATCCTTTATTTCACTCACTGGGGTAGACTGTTCCACGTGCCATGTTTAATGGATGTCAGTTATCAGTTATCTCCTGAAAGTTCTCAGCCAGGTATTGAACTCACACTCTTTATGTCACTGGATCTAACCAACGCCTTTATCCACTGTGCCATGTGTCCTTTCATCTGTGTATGAATTTCTGGGTATTATAAACCTAATGTCTTCAGCAACCATTTTTACCAGTGCTCATATTGCAATTTTTTGCTGTTATCATTGCATGTTTTTACCAGAGCTCATATTTTCAACTTTGTTGCTATTATAATAACGAGTACCAGAGAAAAGCGATAATAACAAATATATAAATCTATCCAGTCATAAACTAACAGATAACCAGAAGGAATTCCTAAATCTAGGTTCAAATTACCATCCCCAGTCTAAATTTGACCTCCTCCCAAAGAAGACTAAAATTATGTCATTATCCCAACTGGAAATTGATAAATTAATAAAACTCCATCCAAACCTCAGAGATTTTCTCAAGGTAGAAGATCTAAAAGATTGCACTCCTCATAATAGCCACAAGATTCCAACAAAAAAACTCAAAACTGATGCAAAAGAATTAAAAAACAATCCTAATATCATCAACAGAAGAGCTGATAAATCCAATATTTATGCCATTTTGAACAAATTGGATTATTTATTGGATAATTACAGCACTTCATTGATGATTGGTCTAAATTGGCAAAATTAAATAAAAACACCATAAAGAATCTAAAAAAAATTGTCAACAAACTTATAAGATCAAACAATGTTCATGTAGGATCCTTAAAAATCAAAATTATTGGAGATTACCAACCAGGTTATCTATATGGAAATGTTAAAATACATAAACCCGGATATCCAATACTACCCAAATTTTTCCCAGATCCTAACATCTATTTACCAGTTATCAAAAATCCCCAATGATATCATTACTCCATATCTATCTGCTAATTATAGCATCAAATCAACTCATTAATTTAAATTAGTCCTTTAAACTACACAACTAAACCAAAGCACTCTAGCATCACTTGACATAGAAAATTTATTTACAAAAGTCCCTGTTGATGAAACTATCAATATAATCCTTAACTCTGTAAATAAAAATAATTCCACCTCCATCCATCAAACCTAATATTCTCAAAAGATTATTGCATTCCTGCATAACAAAAATCCCCTTCTATGATCATAATGACAAAATTTACACTCAAACTAATAAAGTGTGGGAAATCCTCTTAGTCCATGCTTCTTTAACTATTACATGTTCCATGTAGAAAACAAGGTATTTAAAAAAAGTTACTAAACCAAAAATATATGTCCACTATGTAAATGATATTTTTATTTTAGTTGAGAACAAAAACAAAATTGATCATCTCAAAAATACATTTGAAGAAAATTCTGTCCTCAATTTTATCTATGAACTTAGCAAAAAAATAAACTCCCATTCTTGGATGTTCTTGTGGAGTCTAGTAATAATACATTCACTACTTTGTTATTTAAAAAACCCACAAGTAAAAACTCTTGTCACCTTAATTTTACTAGTCAATGTCCTCTCAGTTATAAAATAAGTGTTATTAAAAATTTCCTTATGAGAGTGGATTAGAATTCTTCCTCTCAGCCACTTTTCTTTAAAGAACTTAACGTAAGACAAACACTTGTTAATAACGGTTTTCCAAACCATCTTATAGGTTACCATATTAGACTTTTTCTTTCTAATGTAACAATTAGCAACACTGGACATACAGAAAAAAACAATAACTTAAACATTTTCTACAAAAATCAAATGTATGGTAATTATACACAAGGCGAATCTTCACTTAGTAACATTATAAAGAAATATACAACTCCAGTCGACAAAAACAAGAAAATTAAATTATCTATTAAAATAATTTAAAAGTGCTAAGCTTATTGTCAAAAATAATAATTCACCTGCAAGATCCAAATTACAGAGAACAAATATTATTTACGAATTCACATGTCCCTGTGTCAAATGTGTTCCTGATCAGTCCACATTTGTAAATAATTATATTGGATATACTACAATATGCTTAACAAGAAGATTCAGGTTTTAAAAACACATGGAAACCAACCAAACTATCTGTAACATACTTGCTGATGATACAAATAGTCTTATCCACGTGTAAAAAATGGCTAAAAATAATAAACACTATTAATAAAAAAAAAAAGAAAAAGTCAACACTCAATAATATCAACAATGAACATGGCCACTTTGTACTGACTGTGTTTGGAAAATTTTTATATAATTTATGTCTGGAAAAGAAAAAATTTATAAGAACACATGTCAATCATTTTTAATGAAACTTGCATAAAAGAGGGATTGCTGCCTAAATAAATATATATATATATATACACACACACACACACACACACACACATTGTGATTTGAACATTAGTGTTCCAACCAAAATGGGTAAACAAAACTATTCTAAAGCCATTGATAGTTGTTCTAGCACAAAGTTACAAGTCATCGTGATCAAGTTTTTGAGCCTAGTTCAAAAATTATTGATCATGCCAGATTATATGCTCTCACCTAGAACTAAGGTCCATTCAGCAGAGTTGTAGTATAAACCACAGGTTGGCTCTGGGTGTGTTAATGAAACATGAATGTGCCTGAGCAAGCATTTGGAATAAGGATCAACTAGCAACTAATTATTATATAAATTAAGCAACCCTACCAGACTCCAAAGCTTCCAGAGACTTGTGGATCTCTCTCTCTCTCTCTCTCTATATATATATATATATATATATGGCAAAATTTGAGAATAAGTTTATTAGAAGAATCAGCATATATAACCTCATCAGTATACCTGATATAGAACTAAACACCATATCGGAGCATTAAAAATTACAATACATAGTGTAATTTTAGAGCCTTAAATCCAATGTCTCTTATTTTCTGATCAAAGACTCCTGTGTGGTGCTCAGTGATATATTAGGCATACTGAGGGCAGTATGTAACTACAGCCAGACAAGGACACCAGTTGTGACTACGGCAAGACAAGGACTCTAGTTCAAGTAAATCCATGTATTATAAGTACATTTAAAAATGAAAAGCTAGTCTAAAATTCCTTCAAATAATTATATTTCTAATTTTATGAATCTCACTAAAGAAAATAAAAAGATTTTTATTAATGTTTTCTTATCAGATTTTACAATTTCTTTATTAATTTACTATAAATATTTGTGTATAATATGATCAATTTCTGTCACTAAATTTTTACAGTGAATCATAAAGATTAAATATATTTTTCACAGCCAACATCTTTATAATGAAATATCTACATACTCTCGCTGTCCTTTAGTTGCCAAGTACAATTTTTTGGCTTTATTTTGAGCATCTTCTTGGGACAATCTGTGATTGAATTGCATCAGTAGTTGCTCAGCAAACTTTTGCCCAGCACCATAAATACGACCATAATTAAACATCTGAAAATGAACAAGAATTATTTTAAATATTCACAACAAATTGCAATTATCAAAACATCATTAAAGCAATTACAAATGAAAAAATATTGATACAATTAGCAATCCAAATGTTTCATTTTCAGAAATATGTTTCAAAGGAAGAGCATTGGACTGAATACCATATGGTTTGAAATTAAACATCAGTTTACTTAGGCATAATTATAATGCACAAACTTGAGAAATATGCAAAACTAGGTATAGAGTAATGACATACAAAACATATTCTGATGTGCACTGCTTATGAGTCCTGAAAAAGGACAAAATGGCTGTCCAGTGCTTTCTGTTGAGAGTATAGAGGCATATGTTGCTGTGCTTTGGCAGTTGGAGAAATGTAGGACAATGATTCAAGACCAAACAGTTGTCGGGGGTAAAGTTAATACAGTCAAGGAAAAGATAAAGGATAAAACGTTTACCCTAGACAAATGTATAGACATAGGCAGAGCCTATGAAACTTCCAAGCTACAAACTCAAAATATTTCTTTAGGCACAAATGCAACAGAAGCAAATGTTAGCAGAGTAGCACCAGAGAAATATAAAAAGAAGCCTCAAAATACAGTATGCTATAAAAGAAGTCCAAATAAATGTGTACGTTGTGGCAATATTCCATCTTACACTCAAAATGGCAGTTAGCCAAAAATGCAATTTGCCAAAAGTGTTAAAGAAAAGGACATTATCCAAAAAAGTGAAATATTGAAATGAGAGAGTAAAAACCACACAACATCCTTGAGTCTGTTACTATTAATGGTAGAATTAATGAAGTCATGGAAAAAGCCTGGCAAGGTGAAGTTAAAGTTACTACAAAAATATGTAGTGAAGTAAATTGGATACTAGAGCAGATATAGAGCAGGTAGTCCCAGTAGTTATTTTAGAAAAAAACTCCTCAATTATTAAAAAATGTAACAAACAACTGTATGGACCAGGCTACCACCAGATAAAACTTATTGTTCATTCATGCTCCATTTTTATAGTGAAGGCAGATACCATTTGTTGACAAGGGAGGTAACCATGGATTACTCCACACCCGTTACTTCAGGATTTTTACGATTCAAGGATATCGATGGATGGAGAAGATACAAACACTACTGTAATATTGGTATAATACTTACTGTATACCTACTTTTGCAGCCCCATGTATTAAAGTTTTCATTCTAATGGCTGATATTATTATTTATAAATCAATAGCCAACCAGTGTGACTGATGACCACGTGTGCAGTGATATAGACAAGTAAAAGTAGTAAATAGGCCAAAAAGTTATGATTGCATGACGGAAGTGATTGGCAGTGAATCTAATTACATAAAGCTAGTAATGGCGAATGAATGACTGCAAGTGAGTCCAAATTTTTTTTGTTGATAACTCCAAAATGGTAGGTTTTATCATAATTTAGGTTTTATCATAATTTAATTGTTATTTCGAGTTCAGCATGTACATTTACATGGAAATATGACGATTTCGGAAAATTTTAATAGATATTTAGCGCGTGGATTAAAAAGCAAATTTACTATTTTTTATTTATTCATCACTTCTTTCACAAATTTCTTTGTTTACATTAGGATATGAAACTGAGTAGATATGCCTATTTCCAGAGTTAGAGAAAAATCTGAGTTTAAAGGCACTATTCCGGTTTGCTTGGTCATTGACACACCTCTGTAGCTGAGAGGTCAAAGCACGTCAGATCTAATGATGGTTTTCCCTGAAGTAACGTAAATTCAAATCCTGCTGGAGAGTGAATATTTCTCTATAGTAAGATTCCTCAAATATTCAGGACAGTAAACAAAAATAAATAAATGAAGCATCTACTCAAATGTGAGTATCCACTAAAAATAACGCTTAAGTAATATAAAAAAAAACTGTACTCTGTACCCTCGATGTACTGATAAACAGTAAGAATAATAATACATTTACTACTGCTCCTTATAAAAAGGCAACTAGTATAAACACATGTACTCACATCTATAAAAGGGAATGTCCAAACTATTACAAAATAGCTATTATATGAAACTTAATAAACCGTGCAAAATCAAATTATTCAACAAAAAAGATTTTCTACACTGAATTAAAAAATATTAAACAAACTCTCATTAATAATGAATTCAATAATTACATTGTTGATGAACAAATTAGACAAGCTATTAGGAATATTGACATAAATAAAAACAAATAATTATAATACATCAAATTACTATATCGTAATCAAATGAATTCCAACTATAAACAGGAGGAAAAAATTCTAAAAAAACTCATAAACACTAATATATCCCCCATTGAGCCAAGTAAAAAAAAAATAAAATTAATTATATACTATACTAAATTTAATACAATCAACATAGTTGTCCAAAACAATTCTTGTCCACCAACTCACATCTTGCAAAAGGCCAACATTGTATATTAATTTAAATGTCCTTTAGGAGATTGTATCTCTGGATAAAAATGTCAATACATATGTTGGCTTTACTATGATGATGCTAACAAAATGGCTTACATTTCATTTGGCTGTGCACAGTTCAATCTCAGAGCGTTTAAAGGAACACTCATGCCCACACTCACAGATTTGATGGATATTAATTGAAAATGCATCTATATTACATAAAAAACAATAATAAGCAAAAACTAAAAATCCTTGAAGCTCTTTATATAATATAATTAAAGTCCAAACCTAATAAAGTCAACTATTAGTATAGCAATAAAGTCCTTAAATGCTTATATAAAAAAGAAATTATGTGCATGAGCAAAAATGGAAAAGTTATTTCCCTTATACTGGGGGAAAAAAAAAAAATGTGAACTTTGAAATCAAGAATGCTGCATAAGCGGCAAAAATGACCAGTTGAGATGTTTTGAATTTACAAAAACACATATACATACTCACAGATGACTTAAACCTCTGAAGATGTTCTCAGATGAGATAGAAGAAAATAAAAACTGTTTGAAAGAAAATTTTGGTATTTTTTCTTAATTTTCTAAGGCTACCAAAAAATTAATCCATGAACTTGAAAGGATCACAACAAAAACTAATTGACATGATATGTCTAAATTATTTAACCAAATCTGTTTGAATGAAAAAATATGCTGCATATATATATATATATATATATATATACACATATATATATATATATATATATATATATATATATGAATTACATAAATGAAACTCAATTGTACCTCATTTTTATATGGCCATTTCACTCCCTGGGATAAATTTCCTGGAACTTGTCAATACTAAAACGTTTGATAAAAAAAAAATGAATAAAATTTTTTCCTCTTAAATTTAAAATTAACAAAGGGAAGAAAAAAAGAGAGAAGAAAACAGATGAACAAACAACAAATAAGGGAAAATGCATTTAAGAGGGAGATAGAAAAAAAGAAAAAGAAATACCCAAGTAGAGAAGAGGAAACAGGAAGACAGAACATATACAAGTCTAGACAGAAGTTAAAAATGGTTGAAGATTAACAATGACCTATATTTAAAATATTAACTCTTGTTCAAATTGGAAAAAATTAAAATTACCTAAGAAAATACAATCATTAAAGTTAAGAAAAGGAATAGTTTTAAAGGTAGTAGATAAAAGAAAAATTAGAATTTAATATTAAAACTATTATTTAATTTTAATATTAAACAAAGAAATTTAATATTATAATAAAAAATTAAGACATTATTAGTAAATAAACAAGAAAAATCTGAATATCAAAAATACTAAAATAAAGGAAGAAATTAAAATAAATAGATAATAGCCCAAAAGAAAATTTTACAATATAAAAGGAAAAATTTTTTTAAATAGATTAATAAAAAGGTAAAAACTAGATTAAACTTAAGATTAAATTTAAATATTATAGTGATGAATTATAAATTAAAATATAAAGTATTATATAGAATCGTATAGGTTAAAAAATTATAAATTAAATTACAATAGATAAAACAGATTAAAATTAAATATAGATTAACTTATAAAATAGATAAAAGAATAATGAATCCTTTTACAGAGGGAAACTTCAGTAACAAATAACTAAGGACAATCCCCCCACAAAAAAAACTAAAAAACAGCTAGCCATTTAAACAGGTAAATAAAAGTAAAATTAACTCATCGATGTACTTGAATGCACATAACATCAGAGTTTAAAAAAGGAGAAAGAAAAAAAGAAAAATATAGAGAGAAAAATATAAAAATAAAATTTTTAAAATCCTTATAGGATATGAAATATAGGAACTGAAATATCTTATAGGATATGAAAAAGAAAAAATTAAAAAACTTATTATAGGATACGAAATATAGAAAAATAACTCTTTAAAAAGTGTATGAGATATAGAAAAAACACTTTAAAAATAATTTTAATTAACTCAAAAGGAAAATATAGAAAAAAAAACTTTTTAAATAAACCTTATCAAGTGGGGGGAGGGAATATGAAATCCATATTATTAAATAAATTAAACAAGTACCATATCAGTTGTAAATAAGTAAATAACATAAAATAAAATAGAATGAACAGAAAAAAAGGAGAGGTTTCAATTGAAAAAACTACAGATATAAAAGAAATTTGACAAGATATAGCTAGCAATAAAACAAAGGAAAAATAGAGAAAAATAAGAGAATTACATATACCTAACATAAACCACAGCATCATATAAAAAAAAAAAAACAATAGGAAGAGAGTTAAATAAAAGGAGTAATCAGGAAAAAAAAACAAACACTTATGGAAAAAAATCCACCATAGAGAAAATAAGTGAATGAGGAAATGCAATTCATTTCTATGGTCTATAAGAAATACACCAAGCTCTCTTTGTGGATCAGTTTTTTTATATTAATAGGACTCGGATTACTTACCCATGGACATATATATATATATATATATATATATATATGTATGTCATATATAATATGTAATAGAATGTTTTTTGAGATTTAATAATAATTTAAGTCTAGAGCAAAAATCCTCAACAGAATGCAGAAGTCACTGGATGGCCATTTTGTAGTGGATGCACACTGCTGATGAGTCCCAAAAAAGGATAAAACAGTCATCCAGTGCTTTCTGCATTATGGTGAGGATTCTTGTTCTAGGCTCGATGAATTATTATATTATATATATATATATATATATATATATATATATATATATATATATCTCACAAAGCTTAATGGTGAAAAGTCATCTGGAATGGATGTTATATATATATATACACATATATACATATATATATATATATATATATATATATATACAGATAGCTAGATAGATGTTTCATTGATTAATATAGACAAATTTTGTTTATTTTATACAAATTCCTTTCATATCATCTGATAAGCTTAATAACATTATCATTGAAAGACAAAAGGAAATCACCAAATTGATACTTTTTTTTTTTAATTCCTATCTAAGCTTTCGGCTTACATAAGGCATCATCAAAGATGGCAATTACATTACAATATATTAAACAATACACGGACATAGCACTAATGATGGTCTGTTTTTGTTTGCATGGAAGATTTCCAAGCAACGACAAACTCAATACGAGATGCTGGAAGCTAAAATCGCACCGCGGCTCATGACATCACAGATGATCACGCGGTCTATCAACATCCTAGCAAACAGATATGAAAGGAATTTGCATAAAATAAATAGACAAAAACTTATCTTTATTACTTAATGAAACATGTATCAATGAAAAAATGCTGCCTAAATACACACTATATATATGAAGAAAATATACTATATATATATATCAGAAAACTTAATAGTGGAAAGTCATCTGGAATGGAAAGGGCTGCATGACAAGATTTTTAAGCACAGTGATGGTCTTTTGCATTGGCTTCATTTGTTGTTGCTAGATGCTTGGAGTAATAACAGTGTTCTAGATGACTGGAGAGATGCTGTCATGGTTGTTTTGTTCAATCATTAACTGAAGCATTAAGGTTGAACAGAAATTTCAAAATAGGTTCACACTCCTCTCTGTTCTTTTGTACAGTAGTAGAGGTTTATCCCTTAATTTGTGTTTAGGATTGGGTTTTTGGTTCCTTCTAAAGTCTTTTTCATTCTCTTTCCTTCTCAGTAGCTACAGGTGTACTCAATGAAAATCACGGATGCAACAAACTTCCTTAAATGCATAAAGAGTGAATTGACAGCAATGTGAAGTTATTGCATCAAATTCACGTGAATCTTGCAAAGTGCATCAACTTTTACATCACAAATGATGGAAATCATATTGAAGATGTTATTTGTTAATATTTCAATTCAATAAAATGTTTTAAAAATTTCATTTCTTGAAAATGTGCATTAAACTTTAGGGACACCATTATATATATATATATATATATATATATATATATATATATATATATGAGAGAGAGAGAGAGAGAGAGATTGTCTACACTCTATATCTATAAATTAACTATTTCTGATATTGAACACACTTCTATAAATATAGCAAATTCTAAACAATATGTGTGTGGGGGGTGTTATTCCAGAAAACTGCCCACTGCCTCTAGGACAGCATTGATGATGTGATCTCAGAAGCAACTGTGTATCCAGATTAAGTAGTTTTCATTCATGTTGACCATCACATCAATGTTGGTGGCTTTCAGCCAATCCTTGATATTATGAGGCTGGGTGCTCATTGGTTTTCTTCAAGATGCATCAGATGAAGTAGTCCAGAGGATTCAAATTAGGAATGCTAGGAGGTTCAGGACAGAAGACATGCTTGTCAACAGGCTGTTTAAAATCAAAGGATGGAACACTTGTATTAGAGAAGGAAAAAATTCTTCAACGTTGGAGCAAGTACATTGGAGAACTCTTCCATAATGAAAGGGAACAACCAGCAATACATAGAACTACTGACAGACCTGGAATTCTGAAAACAAAAGTAAAAGCTGCACTGGCCAAATTAAACAGAAACAAGGCAGATGTGCCAGATGGAATTGTAGCAGAAATGATGACAGCCTTAGATGACTTTGGCATAGACAAGATCACCGAAATAACAAATGAAATCTACAACAGCGGGAATATACCAGAAGATCTCAGCAGATCTATCTTCATAGCTATGCCTAAGAAACCAGATGCAAACGAATGCGAACTCCACCGAACAATAAGCCTGATGAGCCACATGACAAAACTCATCATCCGTATTCTGTTGAATAGAGCACACAGCCGAATCAGGCTAGAGATAGGACAAGAACAGTGCAGGTTCGTTAAAGACACCGAAACAAGGAATGTAATATCCATGCTCAGAATGTTATGAGAAAGAGTGATACAAATGCAGAAGGATGTGTACCTATATTTTATAGACTACACAAAGGACTTCAACAAAGTACACCACAAGGATCTGATGGAACTGCTCAGCAACCTTGATATATTCAAGAGTGATATCAGAATAATCAAGAACCTATACTGGCAACACACAGCATGCATACACATAGGGAACAAGTTTAGTGAATATACAAAAATAGAAAGGGGCATAAGGCAAGGATGCATCTTCTCACCTGACCTGTTCAACCTATACAGCGAGGCAATTCTGAGAGAATTGGAAACCTTACTGAAATTTAGCATTGACGGCCACAACCTTAAAAGCAAAAGATACGCAGATGACACAGTACTGATAGCAGACATGGAAAAGAAATTACAAAATCTCCTACAAAAGGTAGCAACGGAGAGTGAGAAGAAAGGACTAAGCATAAACTACAAGACAGAATGCATGGTCATCAGTAAGAAGATGTTGTGTATGATACACCTAATTTACATAAGCGGACTACCGACCATATAAATATGGGTTGGTACCGGAAGACGGGGAAGATAGTAGAGATTAAGAAATTGAATCCAGAGACTCTGCCCGACTGCGATTTAGTCAACCCATTATGCAGGAACAGTCTTCCCAAGAATATACCAAACTAACTGTAAATATTGTGTACCTATTCTTTGTTTCAATACATTTTGTTAACGTACATTTTGTGTTGTATTATTCCATGCTTATTTAAGCTTCAACAGAAGAAGAGCCTGAAATGCAATTTGCAGGTTGGGGAACACTAGAATCAAGCAGGTCTGAAAGTTTAAATATCTGGGAAGTGTCTTGACAGAGGACAGTAAATGCGACACTGAGATCCGTAGGCGTATTGGGATGGCGAAGGACACATTCCAAAAGGTGAGCAGAGTATTGCGAGATAGGAGGATTTCTTTGGTAACAAAGAAAAGAATACTGAGCTGTTATGTGACATCTGTTCTTCTTTATGGCAGCAAATGTTAGACGATTTCCTCAAAAATGAAGGAGAGACTTGAGATAACGGAGATGTTGTTCTACAGAAGGATGCTAAGGATATCATGGACCGAGCATGTGAGCAACAATGAGGTCTTAGTGAGGTTGCAAACAAGGAGAAGGCTTATACTTAACATCAGAAAGAGGCAGCTGAAGTTTCTGGGACACATAATGAGGAAGGAGGGCCTGGAGAATCTGATGCTCACAGGTCGAATAGAGGGAAAGAGAGACAAGAGAAAGCAGCGCATGACATACCTGATGAGCTTGAGCAGGTGGATGACAGAATGTGGTGTGGGGGAGGAAGCAGAGGGAAGGAACTTGCTGAGAGCTGCAAGGGATAGAGGGAGGTGGAGAGCTATGATTGCCTATGACCTGAAAGGACATGGTACATAAAAAGAAAGAGATTGAATACTGGGAATTACATGACATTCTTGACCAGGCACTCCTGGGACATTTGTGAGGGAGCAGTGTTCTGCTTGAACATATACAGCTACCCACTTGGAGCCACTCCTACACCCCTGTAATTTGTCAGGTCATAGAATCAACCTTTGTTTGATTTGTCTTCTTCAGATTATGATCTGTTTGGGCTCCTCAAGCAATAAACATTCTGGATTATTCTTACTGTTCCTAAGGAGCTTCCTTTCTATGACAATTCCATTGGGCAATCAATACCAATTTTCTTTATATTATTATTATTATATTGTTGTGTTTATGATGGCATCATTATATATATCTTATAATTATTATCTGATGTAGTAAGCATTATGCTGTTATATGTAGATAATATACGCTAAAAAAAGTTTGAGGACACACCAGGTAATTTTTTACATTAGCCCAGAAAGTAGTTGTTTTGTACTTTAAATAAGAGAAAATTATTATACATGATTAAAAAAAAATGAGACATTATTTATTATAAATTTTATTAAGATAAAAAGGAAAAAAGCATTTTATGATTAAATTTTGTTCTCATCAAAATATCCTTCTTTAGCCTTGATTACTGCAGCACAAATTTTTTTGGCATTTCATTGCAAAAGTTTCTCAAAGTATAAGTTTGATAATTGATTCCCTTCTTTTTTTTCAATGACTCTAAGAATTTTTTTCATTTTTCTTTTCACTCTTCTGTCAAGTTCATCCCATGCTAATCCTGGGGGTGGCTTCAAACTTTTGAACTGTAGTGCATAGTTTTATAATAGTATTTATAAGAATTTGCATATTTTTTCTCTAACAATTTTACTGTCATAAATTTGAAATGTCTTATTCTGAATTTAAAAAGTCAGTTATTAATTACGTCCTCACATGATATAAAATGTGACAACGTCCATTTTTAATGTGGGTATTAATTGTATTTTCACATGATATACAACCTAACACCTGGTTGCTTTTTAGTGAAATCTTTTTCATAAAATGCCTGAGGCAACTTAATAAAACCATAGACATTAGTAAATGCCTTGACTTCTCATTTTAAGAACAAAAGAAGTTTCCATCACCCATTGAAAACTTTGAATGAGTGTAAGAGCCAATGTCCTAAAGAATGAGTTCAATAGTCTGAACAACTTCTGCAATGAAAAGTTTGTTTTCATAAAAAATGATTACCTTGGCATGATCTCGGCTGATGTCCACCAACTCTGCTGTTTTACTGTGCATATCTGTTTTGTCACTCTTTTTGCCTTGTAAGTTCATCCAACTAAGAGCTGTACAACCTGAAGTAGAAACATTACATTATTAATGCAAAAATTAAGAATTTTGGTAAAAAGAATATAAATTAATGCCAATACTTGTTTAATGTGTTCATGCACAAAAGATAAGTGAACCAGCATTACCAACAGCAAGTTAACAAGCATTATCAACCAATTAGTGAGATTTAAATCCACAAACAGAACCACCAACAAATTAAATTAGTTCTGTGAAATTTGATTAGAAATAAAGAAAAGAGTGCTTAACTGCACTATGGCAGTGATTGCTGAACAATTTTTCCACATATGCAGAAGAAGGAAAACAGAAATTTAGTTCTACAGAAAGATGCCAAGGATACCATTTTGAAATTAAAAATTATAATTTATTCTATAATATAAAATACAATGAGACTTTATGAGTCAACTTTATCTCTCATTGTTAGTGATGAAATATTTTATCATTAATTGACATCAATAGGTGAATTTCTCATTAGTAAAGAGGAGACCCTAGTTTGTTAATGCACTGCTTTTTATCTCTGTGGTTTTTGTCTTTCATTTCATTGGATATTTTCATTTTAACAATTTAAAAAGCAGAATCCTTTCTTACATGAGACAATAGAATTAACTTTATAGAGAGAAAATTTGAGATTACTCCTACCAAAAATGTAACCAATGCAATTGCAAAATTACTTGACTATTACTGTCATTTTATGATGCCATCAATAAACTAGTTTACAATATAATTCTCCAAAGACTAGAGAATATCATTTTTGTACTATACCAGTAATATATGTTTGAATTATTATTGTCAGATGCATTTATTTAAATTGTTTTTAAAAATTCAATAATTGAGAAAACAAAAAACAAAAAAAAAACAATGTTCTTTGTGAATATCTTAAATTGTCTGGGTTTAATAAATTTTTGAAACTGTCCATTTCTTTTGTAATCCACACACAAACAAAAATACATGTCCATGCCACAGAGAAAAATTGTTACCATCATTCTGACATCTTTTTAGGAATGCTACATTTCAAACTTAAATATACTTGTATCATATGATGCCAAGTGGAAAACAGATTTGGATTTTGACAGCACCAGAGGATGAAGATATTATTAAGGATTTCATATGCATTTTAAAATGCCATCCATTGTGATGGACTTGCCCATTATCTTCAACATATCAAGGTTCAACAATTTAGTACCTAAAACTAAACAGTCAAACTATCTGTAAATATGATTTCATTATAGTGGTGAAGGCTTGTGCAGAACCATTCACTTTTCAGAAGAACTGAATACAGAGAACTGGTGCACATAGAGTGCCATAAGTTCCAAAAACAACCCTTTTAAATTCAAAGTTATATTACTTCAAGATTGGTTGCCAAAACAAGGCTAAAGAGCACAGACTGTCCCCCTATTTAACCCATAGCTGGGGAAGAAGACATGAATTTATATCTTTCCAAAGAGTATTTGCACATAAGTGAATGCAATAAACTCAATTGGAATTTGAACTTGTCTCTATGATTTCTCATTTGAAACCACTATCTAGTATATCACCTGTGCGTGCACACACACACATATATATTATATATTATATATATATATATATATATATATAAAAGTGTTCAATATCAGGGATAGAATATATGTAAATATAAAAGTGGACAATGAGCTCAACACTGAGCAGCAATAGTGTTTCATGTTTGAATGCAATCTTTAGGCCTGTTCAACCACTTGGTGTTAAACTCAGTATCCACTTTTATATATAAAATGTGCTCTATCCCTGATATTGAGCACTTTTACCTATAAATATAGCATACCTTAGAACTATATAGTAATATTATTGGTCCTGATTTGCCATCAGCCACTTTCCCACCACCATAAAGTTGCCTCCCTCTGCCTTTTCTGTACTTTCATGATAACTGTTTTGATGAGCTCTTTGCTATGGTACCTAGACTTTATGAATTTAAGCGCAGTACTAGACTGGCAATGAGGTCTCATCAATTTACAGTTGAGTTGGCTACATGTAACTGTAAGTTCTATGATAACAGTTTCTTTTCTTACACTTCTCACTTGTGGAACTCTCTTTCATCTACAAAACAATATTTATACAATATTACATGCATATGGTGTGTGTAAGCATATAGAATATATGTATAAAATAAAGCACTCACCATGCATCTGTGCAAAATGAGAGTCTGCAATGATGGAAGCAATCCATAATTCTTGTGAATCTACATCAGCCCCAACAAAACAATATCCAGGAGGGGATTGAATCATAGCCTTCAGTTCACTACCAATTCGGTCTTCCTGTAATAAGTCAAATTTGTAAAACATTCACCTTTATAAAAAAACTGAAAATTACATACAATTCAAATCACCATGAAGACCATCCTACAAAACATATTGCCTATTTACTGTCATATCCTTGCTCTTGAATTGTCCTCAAACCAATATAAAATGTTGAATGGTTAGATTTAGTAATCATAATTTCTGTCTGAATTTCTGGGATGAGGAGTTATCATTATCTACACTATTTACATGTAGACTATTGTCCTCATCTTTGTTGCTATTACAACTATTTGGCCATTGTGCACTCTAGTCTTCATCAGGTGTATGTTGATCCAGGTAATTTTTAACTAGAGCTCCTTAATAAAATCCAAACAAGAATCAGCAATAATATTGGTCCTGATCTAGCAGCTCAGCTTCAGTCACAATCCCACCACTGTAAGGTTGCCTCTCTGTACCTTTCCTGTAAATATATTCATGATAATTTTTCAGATGAGCTCTTTGCTATGGTACCTAGACTTTTTAAATTTAAGCGTTGTACTAGATTGGCATCTAGATTTCATCAATTTGCAGTTGAGCTGGCTAGATGTAGCCATAAGTTCTATGCTAACATAGTCTTTTCTCACACTTCTCACTTATGAAACTCCTTCCAGGTCCATACTTTCCAGCCATCCTTAATCTGCAAAAATTTAAATGCAATGTCAATCATTATCTACTGACCTCCTGATTACTGTTTTCTCTTCCCGCTCATTATTAATGTTTCTGTTCCTAATTCTCCCACACCCTGTAACCCTTTGTGTTTTAGTGGCTTTACTGCCTTGCATGGGGTGGTACTGATTATATATATATATATATATATATATAAACAATAAACAAAAACTAAAAATTCTTAAAGCTATATACATAAAACAGTTGAAACCTAACCTGAACAAAATAAACTATGAAATCTCCACAAATATACTTAAATGCCTATAATTGATAACAGAAGCCAATGGTTTATACCAACGGCTTCCCATACTTAATACTTCTCGTTTTCACTTTCATGTGGTCATGTGTGACGTCATGAGCTGCGGTGCGATTTACGCTTCCAGCCTCTTGTATGTAGTTTGTTGTTGCTTCGAAATCTTCCATGCAAACAAAAACAGACTATCATTATTGTTATGTCTGTGTATTGTTCAATATATTGTAATGTAATTGTCATCTTTGATGATGGCTTATGTAAGCTAAAAGCTTAGGATTAAAAAATATGTATCAATATGGTGATTTTCTTTTGTATTTCAATGATGTTATTAAACTTATCAGACAATATGAAAGGAATTTGCATAAAATAAATAGATAAAACTTGTCTATATTATTTAATGAAAGATGCATCAATGAAAAAATGCTGCCTAAATACACACAATATATATATATATATATATATATATATATATATATATATATAATAAACAGAATTAATTAAGAATTTAATTTACCTAGCACATAGCCATTCACAATTCTCTTTGTCTTTCAACTGTCTGTACAAAATGTTTACTGTTTTTGAAAGTAGCTCAATTGTAGGTTGGAGCGAGGGAAACTTAAGCCAAGTTAAAAGTGACACGATGAACAAAAACTTTTTTTTTTTAAATAAGAAAAAAACAATTTGTATATTTGCCTTTTGTTAGCTCTTCTTTTTAGAGTGAAAACATTAAAGGTAAAAAAAAATGAGAGAAAGACAACTTAATATTTCAATTAAAATATAAGAGGAAAGAAAATAAAAAAAAACAGGATTAGAGTTTGAAAAGTCAACAGATTGAAAAGAATTGTTGGTCTTATGAGAGAAGAATGAGAAAGCAGAGCAAAACACATCTCACATCAAAGACGATCAAATATTCAAAATCTTTTTACTACATTTACAATTGAATTGCAGAAAAGACAAAAATTGATGTCAATCTATTCATACCAGATTTTTATCAGACAACCAAAATATTTAACCACACTGCTAAAGAAAAATAATTTTAAAATTCTTAAGATTATTTACATTATCTATATACAGACTATAATAACACCGATATTTCATGAATAGAATGGAATGGCTGAAAGAAAAAAGAATGACAAACATGCTTTGTTCTCAGAGAGACTTTTATAGTACTAAGATATACACAAAACTATATATATATATATATATATATATATATATACATACACGCACACACACACATGTTCCATGCAGAGAATAATATATCAAGTATATCTATACAGCAAAGCAGAGTGTAAGGAGAAACAAAAAAGAAGGGTCTTACATATAATATGGAGATACTCCTGTACCTGAAGAAGCCATTTTTTAGGACTCCTAATTCAAATGGGCCAGATTTATATATTTTCCAGGTGAGGACATATTCCATAAACAGAAAACATTGAGTTTTGCATTTTGACCAAATTGAGGATTGCAAACTGGAGTTTCATTCTATATCTGGGAAAGATATATTCCCAAAGAGAAACAGCACCATGGACTTGTAAGCTGCTGGGGAAGCAGATTTAGCCTCTGCCCACTCCATTGGAGGACTGAGCTAAAGAAAACAACCTTACCACTTAGTTGCTGTAAATGAACTGAAATTGACTGGCGCTTTCATCACTCTATGGAGTGACATCATTAAGCGGTCATCACAAGACTCATATGACTTATCTCCACCAAAATGAGATAAGGACCTTATGTATCCTTACAAGACTATTGTCCATTTCTTTGTTGTTATTATTACAACACTTCAGTTGTTGTACTCTCCAGCCTTCCTCAGGTGCTTGTCAATCCAGATAACCTTCAGGGAATTTTGAACTGAACCCTTTTTTTTTAATCAACAGAGTTAGATTGTTCGCATTCTTCTGTCCATGTCAAGAAATATCTCATCTACTTCTTATTTAGTAGTGCTCAGTTATTGATCATCCTATTTCTTATTTCTTTTTATGTGCCATGTCCTTTCAGGTCATAGACAATCAAGGCTCTCCACCTCCCTCGATCCATTGCAGCTCTCAACAAGTTCCTTCCCTCTGCTTCCTCCCCCAGATCACATTCTGTCACCCACTTGCTTAAGTCTGCTAGGTATGTCACGTGTTTTTTTTCCCTTGTCACTCTTTTCCTCTATTCAACCTGTGAGTATCAGATTCTTCAGGCCCTCCCTCCTCATTATGTATCCCAGAAACTTCAGCTGCCTCTTCTTGTTGTTATGTATAAGAAATAGACCAGATATCCATAAACATGGGCAACGAAACAAGAACAATCTACGAATTAAATAAATGGTTCATACTTTTCACAAGAGTATTAGCATGTAAATGAATGTAATGGATTCGAATGGAATTTGAACTCGGCTCTCCGATTCCTCAATCCAAGCCACTATCCATTACTCCACCGTGTGCCCTAAAATGTTCAACTCTTTCATTCTAATGTTTTTATCATGAAGAAAGTGTATCTGTTAAATATATAAAAGTACTCAAAGAAACATCATCTCCAGTTAAAAAGTAGGTAAAGAGATAATACGTTACAATTCTTGTCCAAAATTATATTTATCAAACATTATACAGTGAAAATTTCAGATAAAAATTCACCTACTAACAGTATGTCAGGCTACAGAATTATTAATCCATCCTTGGATATGAACCTCTTGTGACATATTATATATACACACACACACACACAAAATCTTCAACTCATATATACATATGCAGTAATTCTTTATCACAGACATATATATATATATATATATATATATATAACTTTAAACATTATTAGAGTAGATATATCTTATTTGAAATAGATGCCCCATTTTTATTAAAATTGTGTACTACATTTATTGAAATTCCCTGAAGTTTACCCAGATCAATAAGCACCTGAAGACCAGAGTACCCAATGACCAAAACATTGTGATAACAACAACAACAAAGATAAGGATAACAGTCCACATGTAAATAATGTAAATGTAAAGGTGAATATTTTCTGATGTAATTTAATATAATTCTTTTTGTTGCTGTTCCATTTCTAGCAGGCTTTGACAAATATTTGCTATAATCGTATAAACTCATTTCAGCAAAAGGCCTACAGCAAAATTCATTAAGTCTAAACAAAAATGTACACATTTTTTTTGTTTCAAATTGGCAAATGTGTTTTTAAATGAATCACAATGATGTTGGATATGATGACATAGTACACATTTGACTACCATACATTTTTTCTGTGTATCCATAAAAACACATTGTTGATTCTTCTTCTATGTGCCATGTCCCTTCAAGATGTAGGTGATCATGGCTCTCCACAATTTTCTGTCCTATGTAGGTCTTAATAAATTTTGTCTCTTTGCTATCTCTCCTAATCCCAGTTCTGCCAAAGAGGTAGTTTATTCGCTACATTCTTGTCCTGCTAACCTTTGATATGTCCTGTGAATGTCAAATTTTCTAAGCCCTCTTTCTTGGTTCAGTCAGTTATGTGCTATGCATGATACATGCTTAGACGTTCATGTATCTTTCAATACATGGCTGATGAAGCAGATTTTTTCCTGCAGTAAGTTGTCATTTCTTTCTGCGGTAGACCAGTTGCCATCCAAGGCTACAGAACCCAGTCTGTCTTACTATTTACTCATAGCTGGGGGGAAAAAGAAGAGGATTCATACCTTTCCCAAGGGTATTAGCATGTAAGTGAATGTAATGGATTCATCTAGAATTCAAACTTGGCTCTCCGATTCCTCAATCCAAGCCACTATCCATTACTCCACCGTGTACCCTAAAATGTTCAACTCTTTCATTCTAATGTTTTTATTATGAAGAAAGTGTATCTGTTAAATATATAAAAGTACTCAAAGAAACATATCATTTCCAGTAAAAAAGTAGGTAAAGAAATAATATGTTACAATTCTCGTCCAAAATTATATTTATCAAACATTATACAATGAAAATTTCAGATCAAAATTCACCTACTAACAGTATGTCAGGCTACAGAATTATCAATCCATCCTTGGATCTGAACCTCTTGTGACATATTATATATATATATATAT